TCCCGGCGAAAAGGCTGTCGCAGCCTACCTCCATCCACCTACCTCCCTGAATACTCCGTCAACAACAACACAAAATGCGCTCAAAAACCCTCCAACACCGCAGTCGTTTCTGGAAGGGATTACGCCCGAGTCACAGGCTGAGGAGGATGATACCCGTCGGCTTGAGAGACACCTGGTTCAAATCTTGGATGAGGAGGACCACCATCGCTCGATCAAGAGGGGTGTCAGAGTTATATACGTTGGCCAGGATGTGTCAAACATCAACTTCCTCTTTCGACAGCAGCACAGCGACCGAAACGATCAGGTTTATCATTTCCCGGCAAACGAAATCTCGAAGCACTGCATGAACAACGGATTGGAGCAGATTCCCAGGGATGCCTTCGTCCTTCCCGACCAGCAACTCGCGGACGAATTGGTGGATGCTTACTTCGCCCATGTCAACCCCGGCTGCCCGATAATCGACGAGGACGTGTTTATGGCACAATACAAAGGTCGAGATCTCTCAGACCCTCCCTCGCTGCTGCTTCTTCAGGCCATCCTCCTTGTGGGTGCGCATGTGTCTCGCCCTCGCCCACAACGCGATTCGCTAAAGACCGCCTTTTTCCGCCGGGCCAAAATATTGTTCGATTCGCGCGTTGAACGGAATCGGGATATTCTTGTCCAGGCAGCCCTTCTTCTCACCTGGTATTCCGATCCTGTTGATGATGACGTCTCCGCAAACGCTCACTACTGGGTTGGGGTGGCTGCCAGAATCGCAACGGGCTTGGGAATGCACCGCAATGCGAGCTCTAGCAGGATGGTGTCGATTGATAAGCGCATGTGGCGGCGGGTTTGGTGGATCTTGGTTCAGTTCGACGTTATGGTATCCCTATTGTATGGAAGACCTCAGGCTGTGTGAGTTAACTCAATTTCCTTCGCGGGGTTTTTTTTTTTTTTTTTTTTTTTTTTTTTTTTTGGGTGGGGCGGGGGGAGTTTTCCGACATGGGGAAGGGACACTAACCAGGGCCACGACTCAAATAGCAACTTGGAGGATTGCGATGTTCAGCCTCTTACTGCGACGGATTTCGAAGGTTGTGGGAGCCGCGTTCAAATTGATTATGTGATACACTATACCGAGCTTTGCACCATGATTTCGTTCATCGTGAAAGAAAGATTTGGGTTGCGAGTCAGTCCCGAACGGCGGAAGGCCGTTCTTAACGAGGCTGATAAAGCACTTGCGAATTGGTCGCTTATGCTCCCAGATTCGGTTCGAATGTCCTCTGCCGACTCCGGTTCGTGGCCGGCTCTCCTCCATCTGACCTAC